ACTTTAAGAGCATTCAGTGTACCATTCAGAGTTTACCCATTATTACATTCTATAGGACAATCATAACAATAATTAGAATACTGATATTCAACAATGATTCCTAACAAGTTAAAAAATAAAATTAAGATGAGCATGTTAAACATGTAGAGGAACATATAAAGCAAATGTGAAGCTAATTTATCAAAATATTAATTACTATCGCACTCTGCTTAATAAATTTAACTATATTTGGATCGTAGCTATTATTCCATTATGTACAATCTTTTTCACTTGCACATTTATCTCAATAAGGTTTACAATAATGAACTGCTATATAATATTATAAAATCCACAATAGGCATTTTTAGGTTCATTATTAGGCCCATAACTTTCCCACTACATAGTTAACGATAATTCTGAATGTTGTATTTTTTCATATACTCTTGATGTTTGAGATGAGCCCTTAAATGTAATAACAGGATTGCTTGATCATAATTATATATAAATTGACTATCTTCGGGGACGGATGGCCAAAATAATATATAAATCCTATTGTTCTACTATAATGTGGTTAAAGAATTTAATGCACCCTAGAAAACTTGGATTAAGCCAAAATTATTTGGCGTCCAAAAATTAAATAGGTACCATAATGTATAGAATATAAGATATCAGAACCCTTCATAAAATTTATCCCATCCTTAGAGATAAGAGAATATTGTCAAAATTAAGTAAATATTAATAATAAGATTATAATTAGGATGATTTGCTAAGTCATAGTATTCTTAAATTAAATATTTAGAATCTAAGTATATAGTAAATTTTATATGGTGTTTAATCTTGAAAATAAGAAAAAATTATTTTTTGATATGGAGCTGTGCAAAGTAAACATTAACCATCTCTGTATATATAACAGGTTGGATAACATATTTAACATTCATTTGGTAATTCACATAGCTTACAATTATCTGGGCAATAGACAGAATTCAAAAGTATTGGCTCATATGCCCAAGTTGCTGAAAGATTAATAAATATTTTAATTAAAGCTTACATGTAATTTCCAACAATAGATAAAGTAAATTGATATTAAGGGATATCAATGAGCAAAAAAAAATAATATGCCTAACAATTAGTATAAATAAAGTTTAAGGATGTCAATTTATAGTAATCTTAGCTTATAAAATTTTATTTATTAACTATCATTATATACCGATCCTGCGTAATTGTTATTAGAGTATTATAAATTATTTAGAAACTTAAAATTATTGAAAGCACTATAATTTTGAATGAAAACTACTAACACATTGGTATTTCATTAAAAAGAATTAAAATTGTTCTGATTCCAATTAAATAGGTTCCAATGTTATTTTTTTCTTCATTTATCAATCTTGTAGTTCCTTGATTATATCTAAAGACCATTAAAAGATTATATCTCACAACATAAGTCAGTAGAGTAGGTAACTGATTTGTATTATCTTTGTCTAATATAAATTTCATTTTATCTTACTCTTCAACAATTGCATAATCAGAAATGAATATTTGCTTACCTGTTGTATGTCGATTAAAGATATTCCAAAAATTGCAATATAAAAAGCATCCAATTTCAGGTCTAAATACCATATTTAGCACTCATTACAAATACCATCCATAGGTATTCCATTAAAACACTAAGTCTAATGATTATACATTATGCCATTACATTGAGTACATAATTAATGGTATTTAATTTTTGATATTAATAAATTTCGAATGGAAACCTATCCATTTCCTTTATTTGGCATTATAAATTTTATATTATTTGAATCTGATTGTTGTAAAATTCAATTAATTGTTTTAATTGCTGCTTTGTAAGAATAGCAAATGATTGAGAAATTTCAAAACAAGGTTGGAGTTGGATATTAAAAAGAAATTATTTCTTCCCAAATTAAAATTTGAATCTATTTACCAAGTACCTTGTAGAATTAATTCAAATGATACATGATTACTTTTCTCTAAACTAATTTAATTGTTCTGAGTGGCAGTAAGATAATCTTTATTTAAAGCCAAGTATTTTATTTATGGTGTATTGCATACAAAGTAATTGTTATTATTTGTCCTATCTAAAGATAATGTTGTGAAATTCTTATCATCAATCAAATATGTATACGAACTAATTCATTATGATAAGCATTACCAGAATTGCAAAAATAAAACAAAACTTTAAATTATAGAAATTTAATTATAATCAATCATAATTATAATTAATGATAATAAATTAAATTATAATTAATATTCAAATATTTTACTTTTAAATTATAGAAATTATATAATTAAGGTAAAAGAAAGATGAATAGTATTAGAAAACTGTAAAGATAATAAAATCCAGAATATCAAGAGAAATTATTAGAGATTTAGATATCATTGTGTTTTTTCGTAAGATAATATCAATATTATATTTCATTTTCTTTTAAATCATTTTATATATAGATAATTTACAATAATATTAATACAATTATTTTTTACTTGATAAACATGCTTCTTAGATAATAAATATGAATAAAGCCATAACTTAAGGACTGGAGGGTAGAGTAGTCTTACTGCGATTAACTATTTAAATGAATACAAAGATTAACTCAGAACTCATAATAGAATAATTTATGACTTGAATATTGGATAATACACTCATTGCATGGATGCTAGGTATGTGGGAGGTTGGGTGGACTTGGAAGGGAAACATACTCTGCTTAATAGGTTACTTTCTTCATAGTGGATTGACGTCAGAGAACTGGATTTGAATGAGATTTTCCATAAGTCCTGAATTTATGAGAAGAGCTAAATTTCTTTCAAATCTTTTAAAAAGATTAGGAAAAAGCAAAAAATTCATCTTCATTTGTCTTCTTTAAAATTGGTTAGAAAATATTTTTTGATAAAACATCAAGCTTAAGCCCAAACCTATGGAATTTTTAATTGTTTATTTTTAAAGACTTGCATGTTAACTGGATTATAAATAAATAATTAAAAGTTTATTTCTAACTTAATATTTTTTGGCCTTTATAATATTAATCATAATTAAATATTATCTTTATGGAGATTTATGATAGAAAATTTAGAAATATTGTGATAAGTAATTTTAAAGAATAAAACAAAGAAAAATACCATCTACAAAACTATGTAAGTATACATAAAATATCGATGTATCATCATATCTTAATAACAACATCGATTTTTTTTCTTTGAAAAATTTCTTAATAATTCTGTCTATTTATTAATTTTATGTGTTACACACATGAAGATGTATCTTATAAACTTTTTTTTTTATTTCAGAGCTATAACCTGATAATATTTTATCCAATTTTTAATTATCAAAATGAAAATGCTGGATCTTTTTTTTCTACTATAAATTCCATTATCTGGAACTGCAGTATTTTGACCTATCAAACCAATTTGTAATGTTTATGAGGTTTTTTCTAAATCACCAATCATTAAAAAATAATTAATAAAGGTTCCCTATATAAAAATTAATAGATTAATGCTAATCTATTAATTTTTATAATATGCTTTGAAAATATTGAGTCAATTATTAATTAACAAAGAATCAATAATTTATCCTTTCAAAACAGCAAACCTTAGGGTCTTAAGCTTATCAGTCTAGCTCTTAATTTCGTGGAGATTTAACAAAAAAAGGAAAAGAATTACAAAAATCTTACCTTTTATTCTTCGCAATGCTCTTTATTTTGTTTCATGAAGAAAAATTAAAAATTTATCTCAAACCTACTTTATTATAAATAATTACTAACTTATACAACTATTTTCATATTAAAAATAACCATACTTACATGTAGGCATATTCTTTTTTTAAACTTTATCATTCTAGTTCATAATATAAGAAACACTATTTTTTTTATCAATAGTATTGAATGGACACATACAAGCTTTGAATTCAGGCATATAAATTCGAAAAATTTACAAAATAAACAATTATTCTATAAAGATCTGTCGGATTCTATCAATTATAATGGCAACTCTATAAAGTATCAATTGTTTCACGATTGTAATATTTTAATAATATCTGTTATTTTCAATATTCTTTGAAATAAAAACTGTATTATCCATTTATTCATAGAATGGTCTCCAATCTTATTTTGCTAATCAAGTTACTAGTACTAAAAATTATTCTCAATCTTCATCTACTGATATTTCCCCTAATTCCTATTCAACTTTTATCACAAGGAAATTATGAAAATTTTTACCTGACACAATTGTTTAAATCATAGATTGTATAATAATTAATTATTAAATTTTAGATTATTCTATCATTCCACCTCCCAAAAATTTGTTGTGATATTAAAAAGGTTGTTTAATTTTCAAGTTTTCTCAAACTTTTTGGCTTAATTGAAGTTGTGAATTCATATTAGCGATTGATATATCATGACTTACATAAAAATGAGAAATATACTAATTAGAATGGTAGTAATTATAATTGAAATATCTTAGTTTACAAATTTTCAGATTTGGTATCAACTATATACAATTAATGGTTTATTATATATGACCCAGAGCACGTAGATACATCTTCAACTATTCTAGACTCTGGGATATATGGTTTATTTAAGTTTAATTCTGGTATCTATAAATATTATTATTCTAATTTTTATGCAAATTATTTAATTGGATTGAAAATATCAATTGTAACTTATAATGATATTCCAATTTATTGTGGATTATCCATTATGATTACAGAAGCGTTCAAATTATATATCTCATTATTTATGATGAATAATTTAATTCATTTTGAATATCAATTAAAATAATTTACAAATTTAGGTACTCTATAATGATTATTATGTTGATTCTATATATAGAGATGAATCTGATATTTAAACACATAATTTAATAATCTATACTACTTCTAGCACTCCTTCATCATTAACTTATAATTCAATTCAACAGTTATCTTTAATTACATATATTGAAATTCCTAATTTTCCATTTCTATATTCAGTAAAAGGAAATTACACGTAAAATGAATAAATTATAAATTAGAGATGACACAGTAGGATGGGGATTATAACTTGTTTATGTAACACCAGGATATTGTCCTTAATTTTGTTAATTGTTTGAGGTATAAAGACAAATTATTTTTTTTAAATTACGTCATTCAAGTTTAAGATTTGTCAAAGTGGTTACTTGAAATATAAGGACAATACTTACATAAGCAGATGCGATTAACCATATNATAAAAACTGTATTATCCATTTATTCATAGAATGGTCTCCAATCTTATTTTGCTAATCAAGTTACTAGTACTAAAAATTATTCTCAATCTTCATCTACTGATATTTCCCCTAATTCCTATTCAACTTTTATCACAAGGAAATTATGAAAATTTTTACCTGACACAATTGTTTAAATCATAGATTGTATAATAATTAATTATTAAATTTTAGATTATTCTATCATTCCACCTCCCAAAAATTTGTTGTGATATTAAAAAGGTTGTTTAATTTTCAAGTTTTCTCAAACTTTTTGGCTTAATTGAAGTTGTGAATTCATATTAGCGATTGATATATCATGACTTACATAAAAATGAGAAATATACTAATTAGAATGGTAGTAATTATAATTGAAATATCTTAGTTTACAAATTTTCAGATTTGGTATCAACTATATACAATTAATGGTTTATTATATATGACCCAGAGCACGTAGATACATCTTCAACTATTCTAGACTCTGGGATATATGGTTTATTTAAGTTTAATTCTGGTATCTATAAATATTATTATTCTAATTTTTATGCAAATTATTTAATTGGATTGAAAATATCAATTGTAACTTATAATGATATTCCAATTTATTGTGGATTATCCATTATGATTACAGAAGCGTTCAAATTATATATCTCATTATTTATGATGAATAATTTAATTCATTTTGAATATCAATTAAAATAATTTACAAATTTAGGTACTCTATAATGATTATTATGTTGATTCTATATATAGAGATGAATCTGATATTTAAACACATAATTTAATAATCTATACTACTTCTAGCACTCCTTCATCATTAACTTATAATTCAATTCAACAGTTATCTTTAATTACATATATTGAAATTCCTAATTTTCCATTTCTATATTCAGTAAAAGGAAATTACACGTAAAATGAATAAATTATAAATTAGAGATGACACAGTAGGATGGGGATTATAACTTGTTTATGTAACACCAGGATATTGTCCTTAATTTTGTTAATTGTTTGAGGTATAAAGACAAATTATTTTTTTTAAATTACGTCATTCAAGTTTAAGATTTGTCAAAGTGGTTACTTGAAATATAAGGACAATACTTACATAAGCAGATGCGATTAACCATATCAAAAATTAAATGGTTCTTATTGTTAAGATTTTTATGATGAAACACCATGTATCATTTTATTCTGTATATATCTAGACTCTAATTATTTAACTTATGATTTTCTAAATAATACTGTCGATCATTAGTACTATGGTTGTATAAACTAACCTATTAAAATGGGACGAATTTTATCAAAGGCTTAGATATATCTAATATTAATTATTATTCAAATTGAATTAAAATCCAGAATATATATTATTCATATTTCAATAATCTAAGAATATTTGGAAGAGGAAAATATGATAAAGTATATAAAAGGATAAATCATGACTTGAATACAATAACAATAAGTTGGGAATGTTTTGGACCAAATAATGAACAATTTCAAGCTTATTTTTGATTTTATAATTATTACATTGCTATTCATAAGTGCTAGCCTTATTGATTATAATGCTCAGGTTAGAGTACATGTACATAATGGAATATTGATTATGATGCAAATGTAGTTAAATTCTTTTAAGAAGAATTACTAAGTAACCAATATTATGATAAGGATTCTGTTAGATGTTTAGATTGTCCAATATCTTGTTTAACATGTACATCTAAAATAGATTTTTTAACATGCTAATCTACTTTTATATAAACTAAATTACATTTGTAAATTCAATAATTAATGTTTAAATTTAAGAACTGTATAAATTGTTTAATTAAAATAATAGATAATTAAAAAATCAATAATGTATTTGTATTGATGGATACTATCCAATTTTATAGAATCCTAAATGTGAAAAATGTCATTATTTTTGTTCCACTTGTACTGGACCTACTTTTAATGATTACTTAATTTGCAATAATATTGTTAATATTGAGAATATGGGATCAACATGTATTATTAAGAATTCTCTAAATCATGCTTCTAGTGTCATTAATCATGCTAAACTTGTTATAGAGTAAATTGATGATTGTTTAAGTTGTGATATTAATTTAAATAGAATATTAAAAGATAAAAATGTGAATGTAAACCTGGCTATTATGAATTAGATAGTGTTTGTACAAGTATTAAAAATAATAATCATTATTGATTGCTCGATTACAGAAGATGTGTTATTAAGTGCATGTTATTTATTATGTATTAATAAATAATAATTATGACATATAATTACTTGTATTTCTTGTGATTCTGGATTTTTTTAAGTATTTGGAAAATGTGAAATTTTTGGACATTTACAAATAATTGAATATGAATAATGGGAAGATAATAATAACATAATGGATAATTTATGTTATAATTGTTAGTTTCAATGTCCAACTCTTTGTAAAACTTGTGATGAATCAATTACTTTACCTTGTCCTGATATTTGTGGAGATGAAATAGTTATTGGAATAGAAGAATGCGAAGATGGAAACAATATTAAATATGATGGATGTTTTGATTGCAAATATTAATGCTAATCCTAATGTACAAAATATCTTAAAGAAGAGTGTTTTGAATGTTTAACTAATGAATGGCAAATTGATCTAATAGTTCAACCGTGGTAATGTAAAGAAAAATTTGGAGATTTATAAATAATAGGATAAGAATAATGTGATGATTGAAATTAAGATGATAAGGATGGATGTTAAAATTGTAAATATTTCTATAGAATTGGATGTTCATCTTGTAATTATGACACAAACACTTGTTTAAACTATGTATTACCTGAATTTGTTCTAGTAAAATATTATTGTAAAACTATCTGCAGAGATAAGTTGGTTGTAACAGATCCATATGGATTTTATTTGGAAGAATGTGATGATGGGAATACAATTATTTATGATAAATGTAGTAAGGATTGTAAATTTTAATGCTAAATATTACATATTTGAATTAGTTTTATAAATAATAGATGTTAAATTAGTGTACTGGATATCATCTATCTAGTTAAAGTATATGTATACGAATTTGTGGAGATTAATTGCTAGTAGTTGGTGAACAAAGTGAGGATTCATTTACATTACTGTAATTTTGGATTTGGATGTAAGTTCTGTAAATAAGGTTACAATTTAATCGATAGTTAATGTTATTCAAACTGTAAATAATATCGCAGGATGAAAAATGTGATTATAAAAATTTAATGTTTGGAGATGGACGTCATTAATGTTCTTTCACTTGTCCTATATCTTGTCCTAATTGTCTTCGTGGTATATGATTAAATTGTGCTATATAGCATTTTTATTATTAACATCAATACTGTTAACTATTCGATAATATTTATTTAAAGGAAGATACTAATTTCTAATTTTTAGTTATTGTAATAACTTAAACTTTCATAGAAATCCTAATTCAACAAGTAGAATTCAAATGAAGATATTTGAATTTTATTAATAAATTACACTCAGATTGGTTAATATTTGAAATTATGAATTCAGGCTATCCATATATAAATATAGAAATAGATTTTCAATTTTAATAGAATAAAAAAACTAGAAAGCAAATTTTTTAAATCAAATCATTAGAAAGGTAATTATGATCAAAATTTAAATTATTGGGGATCGTGAAAAATATGTAGGAAGATTGTAAATAGGTTGTAAAAAATTTATCAAGAAAATCAGAAATTAGACTGAGCGATATTTATGTTGATAAATATATAAATTAAATGAGGAAAAGTTTAAATGTTGCATTTTGTGCATTATAATGGGAGTTTCCATCCGGAGAGCTGTATGCTTATTAATAGATGGAGTGGAAAATATCATAAGATAAACTATGGAGTAGAGTTATGTGTTTTTGCATCTTAACCAGTAGAATTGATACTAATTTGAATATATAGATTATCAAAAGATTTAAAAGTGGAAGATTTAAGTAATTGGAGAGTATACATGGAATAGTGTCGACAGAGTAACGGAGGTATCATAAAAGCAGACTTAATCATTAATGTTGGATGAAGATATTCTAGTTTGGAAGCATGGAGAAATTTTAAATATCTCTCTATTTAGTATGGAAACTTAATAAGAGAAAAAATTCAGAATTCAACAAGCTTTTGAAGAGTTGATAAAAAAACAATGGATAAATAAGATTGAGAGGATGTAGGATTAGCTACTACTTTAAAAAAATATAATCGCTCAAAGTTTTAGGTGTGGCAAATTAGCAGAATTATGAAATTTGTGAGATGCATATAAAAAAGATTGAATTATTTTATAGAAAAACAGTATTAAATTGGAAGGTTTAACCTGGTCATAAAAACTAAGTATGAGAATTTAAGAGATTGATGGAGGCTGATCTCAAGAAATACTTAAATTATTTTATAGGTAAGCAGCAAGATTATAATTTAATTATAAAGCATCCCGTTTTATTTGTATATTCAATTTTAAGCAAACCTTAAGGAAAAGAAAGGAATTATATTGTTTGATAATGTACTTTGGTTAGAAGGATTTGAAGTTTTGATATATGAAAGTGTATAAAATTTGAAATAAAAACTATGTACAAATTAGAGACTATGAGCATGAGTAAATAAGAGGTAAGATATAAAGGAGATCAATAGTATTTGATTATGAAAACAGGATTTGATTAATGTCACAATTAATTTTGATTGTAACTCGTTTATAAATCTCTAAATAATAGGAGTATTAGTATTGTTAGGTAGTTGATGTTAAAATTTTCTTCGTGAACAAAAAGGAATCAATGAGCAATCAGATCATCGCAATAATGAATGTAAATCTAGCTATTTAAATTTATATCATTATTTCTCAGAACCTATAAATTATAAAAATAACTCTCTCTTATTATTATTAAATGGAAACTATCATAAACTAGCAGAAAGGTTAATATTTATATCTTTTTTAATTAATAAATCATAATAAAGAATAAACAAGCTCTAGAAAGACTCCTCGTTTTGAATTTATTAAGAGACACCCTTAAAGTGTTAGGTGTATTGTATAATTAGTGAGAATGGTTCTTAATACTGAACTAAGGAATAAAAAGTTTGAATATTATTATTTTAGGAAAAAGAAAACTGCAGTAAAATGAAGAATAAGATGAGACCGAAGTCAAGTGGATGATCAAATATTTGATGGAGGAAAAAAATAAAATTTTTTTTCAAGAGAATAAATTGAATCCCTATCATACTTTTATAAAATTGATACTCAGGTTGTTGGGAGATGGGCTGATTTAAAGATCTTGAAGGCCCCTTTGATCATAAATACGACGTGGGAAATCAATAAATGGGGATGTGGAGTGGAATTATTTCTAAAAAAAATATTGAATGAGAAAAGTCTGCCAGATCAAAATTTAGAAAAACAGTCAGATTTTCTCAGAATTGATAGCCTATTGGAAAATATTAAATCATGGGGTCAATTTAAATGGGTTGAGTAATTTTTACTTAATTCCAGGAGATTACCATTTAATAATATGAGAAGGCTAAAGAGAATTATTATAGTTTCTTTCATCATATGTGGTTAAATAGGAATTGACTAGAAATATTTTATACTTTATTTAAGGTGAATAGATAGGAAAAGAGGGTTATAAAGAGCAATTAGAATTGTTATATCCATGATGTGTAGAGTAAGATAACTACTAATAACAATTCTTTATTTAATGTAGAAATTTAATCAAAATGGTATCTTTACAAAGATCATTTCAAGCTGGAGATTTACTGGTTCATTTTCGATGAAATCCAAACTTAGCAAGGGAAAACTTAGATATCATTGTCCTTTAAAAAATTATTATCAAATTATTTAATTAAGGAAGGTATACAAAGTAATTCTTAAGTCGTTTAGTTTCCATAAAGCAAGTTTGATTTAACTACCTAAGAATTCCCAATCTAATATTCCAGCTGATTTTCGTGCTAGATCGATTAAATTAAAAGTTTGTAAAACCTATATACTTAACCATATGCCATTCAAAGAATTAGGGATATTTGAAGGAACTCCTTTCTAATAGTATTTAATTCTAATCCAATGCTAGTTCGATCAACACGATGCCAACAGAAACTTGTAACAATCTATGTTGAAGTTTTTGATAGCTTCAGGTTAAGTTGCTATGATGTTGTGTCTATTTCTTGATAGGGAGTTTAAAGCATGAAGAATTTTATTAGAAACATATTTTTATATATCACCTAGATTCTTCTAACCTATCATAGGACCTTGAATGACTAGCTTACCTATTATGAATGCTTAACCAAGTTAGTTGATATATTGTTTATATTAGTCTTTCTTTTCTACTTTCTTGCAAGTACAATATTAGAGATGCCTCATAGGAAGAAAGATCTATAAAATGCTTTGCAAGACAGGTCAAGTAATGAATACTAAACTAGAAATGTTTAGTTTATTGTCTTGCATATAAAAAGAAAGTCTCAGTAATTTTTAATTCAATAATTGCTCTTATTCGTATTTTCTGTTTGTTGGTATTTAGAGATTCGAAATCACTTTATTCTCTTAATGCTTAGATAATCAAAAGCCTTGAATAAGTTAAAGTTGATAATAGTAATCAATAAAGCTATTTGAAAATTTAAACATATTTTAAATGTTTTTCTAAAATAAAATGTTTTAATAAACTTTAGTTATTAATTAATTCCAAATAATTCTAAAATATCATAAATTTTTCAATTTTTACTTTTTTTCTAATTCATTTCTATTTAAAAAAAATTGGTTATTCTAATCACAACATCAATATTTATTATTCTTAAAATTTTTCACAAATTACCTAATAATGACTCTTTTTTATAATTGCCAAAGTGTTGATAAAATTAAATTTTTAATATTTATTTAGCACTGATTTGAAAGAAATTGGGTTAAAAAATAATTATCCAAAATTTTCAAATTTAGATCAACTTAAAAAATTATTTACTGAATTTGTGATGTAAATTTATAATTGAAAATCAAAATTGCATATAATTTTCAAAATGATATAATTTTTCCCAAATAGAATTTTATGCTCTATGAACCAAAAGATTTTTTTTATATACATAAACATGTAAAAACAAAAATTACAAAATTTGTAATGCAGACAATAATTATATTACATAATCAAGATATTCATTTTCATCTTAACATTTTATCTCTCCATTTTGTCAACTTAATAAATCATTATTTCATTCATTTCATTAAATTTAGCTATAAAAGTTATAATATTGATTCTTAAGTATATTTATTTAAATCTTATGAAATAAATTTCATTTACAATTTCTCAAAAAAGCCACTAATTAATATAAACCAGTAAGATTTAACCTTGACGTTTGTTCAATTATTAAATTATATCTTTATAGTATTATAGGTAATTTAAAATTCTACATCTTAAAGTAAGTAAGTATTGTGTTTGATTCAAAATTTTTTATATTATGGACCTTATCCAAAATTAAAATTAAATCCTTTATGAAATACTCCAAGAAAAAGACTCACTTATTTTTGATATCTAAAAATATTCTAATGCCCAAAATGATACCTTGGATTTTATTTCTAATATATAAAAAACAACTTATCACCCATTTAATATTTTGTCACAAAGAAAGAACCTAATGTATAACTAATACATGATGGGTATGGAAAGTAAATAGAAGTCTTATAGGACTACTAAAAGATTAAAAATATTACTCACTCTTCCACCATTAAAGAACTTTCCTGTAATCTTTTAAACATTGGCCTTGACTTAAATTCAAATATTAATAAATGACGTCATATCCTTATTCAAAGAAGAAATTAGATGTTTAGGTAATAATAAAAGATTGTCTCTTATCAAAGATTGAACTCTAATGGTTTATAATATTTTTAGGAATATTAAATTGGATTTTAAGTAAGCATGGTAATTTAAATACTTATTTTCAATGAGACTAGTACCATTAAAGAAAGCTCATCCTTAACTGCCTACGATTGATTATATTAGGCCAATTATTGTCTAAAGTCATTTTATTAAATTGATTGAAGCTTTCTATGTTCTTAAGTTTAGACGACATTGTACTAAAGAATATATCCAAAATAGATAGGGTTTGTAAAAAAGATGGC